TATCACTGTGCCTGAGGGCTTAAGACCCTCATTCTAGCTGCCTCGAAGTCAGTATTCTGCAAGCAGCCTTCAGATTAAGATGTAGAACTCTCAGCTCTGCCTGCACCATGCCTGTCTAGATGTTGCCTTGCTCCCACCTTGATGATAATGGAGTGAACCTCTGAACCTATAAGCCAGCCCAGGTGAAATGTCCTTTATAAGACTTGCCTTGGTCATGGTGTCTCTTCACAGCAGTAAAACCCTAACTAAGACACTCTGCTATATTGTATTGTTTGAAGAACTAGCATGGCCTGTCCAAAAGATTAGAAGATTAAAGATTAAAATCCTATTCATGATGAGAGAATAACCAAATTTCATTTTAGAATATCATTTGGAATAGGGGGAATTATTATGACACATTGAAAAATAACATCTAAAATATACACATACTTAACTTATATTTGTTGTCTGTGATTTAAAATCATTATGTCTAAAATGTAAAGTGTTCCCTCTAATTTCTTTTACTGATAATGTTCTCATTGATTTAAATATCTAGCTATTTATAATAATAGGTATAGTAAATGTTAAAATACATATATTAATTGATTTTATGTCTATTAATTAGGGGCACATATAAATACTATGAAATATATATAAGAGTTTAGAAGTCAAACCATTATAACATCATGACATTTAGTAAGAACGTAAAGGCTCACATTGTCAGGCTGGGGACAAAGCCTAGTTGGTAAAGTTCTTACCTTGCAAACATGAGGATCTGACTTATCTGCTCTGCAGAATCTGTGTAAAAATATGCTAACCGTCGTGACTTCTTTTGTTATCTTAGCCCTGTAGAGCAGTGGTTCTCAACCTGTGGGTCATGACCCCTTTGGAGGGTGGACTTAACTGTTTCATAGGGGCCACCTAAGATTATCTTAAAAACTCAGATGTTTACACAATGATTCATAACAGTAGCAAAGTTACAGTTTTGAGGTAGACACAAAAATAACTTTATGGTTGGGGTCATTATGACATGAAGAACTATATGAAAGAGTCACAGAAATTAGGAAGGTTGAGAATCATTGCTGTAGAAGCAGACTAAAGCTGATTCCTGGCCAACCAGTATAGCCTTTTTTGATGAACTGCAGACCAGAAGAGACTCTTGTAAACCAAGGTAGATGAAGCCTGAGGAATAGTACCCAAGACTGTTATCTGGCCTCCATAAATATGTGGGTGGGTGCACACACACCTGGGCACTCATGAGCACATACACGTGTACCTTAAATTATAAATATTTTAATTTCTCCAATGAATTACCAAGATATTTCATTTATATCTAAAACTAAGTAAAGTATCTGATTTATGTACTATGAATCTCCATTTTTTTAGTCAGTTACAATAAAAATAATGTGTTTAAACTTTGTTCACATCTGTTGTTTCAAAACATCGTGTGATGTTGCCTTGCTAGAGTTAGTGTTAAGCAAAAACGTCCCGAATAGTAAAAATGATGTTCCCATGTGGGCTAGGAAATTTACTTGTACTTTTAATATAAACAGATTGAGTTTGATATTATTGGGAGGAAAGGAAATTCAAATGACAAAGCAAAATTAAATGTTCTCTTTGCAAATAGGAGGAGATAATTAATTACACAGAACATTTAAGCTATGATAGTATTTGGAAAAATATCTCAAAGATTCTCCATTTTGTGTCTTGGTTGGTAAGTGCTGTAAGTACATCACATACATAAATTACTGAAATCCCTCACCTTCCCCTTGAACATATTTGTGGAGGCATCATTTTTGCAACAGCCTAGAGTGCTGTGAGTTACACACATACTTGTATATTATTTCACAAGGCATTTAAACCCCTATGGGGGAGAATCTAGAGAGTTGAGGTTCATTTGTGACAGCGTCCCCAAATAGCTTTTTGTTTTCCAGTAGAATATATTACATATTTCAAACTATACATGTTTATCACACATTCCCTGGGCTGGCCTTATTTACAGATGGTTTGAATTATTTTTTTCTGCCTTTTCTCAGAATTTTGCATGGTTTGTAGTTAAAAACCGGCCCCTGTTTAACAGGAAGGTATTTCTATTCTCCAGAATGTGAGTTCTCCAAACACAACAATATTGGCATGCTTCCGAACTGGAGTTAGCTGTTCCACAGCCATTTATTGATGGTCAAAATAGTCCCATTTGTGCTAAACACCCAAATATGCCTTTAAAAAGAGTCAAAAGTTGCCTGCTCTGGTGGCTATGCATGCTGACAAAGGCTGTAAATTAACATTTAAGTTTACTATTTTATTGTGCTCTGGATTAAAGAGTGGTTTTCCTTCTCCTATGTGTATAGCACATTCTGCATTGAAGTAATTATCCATTTTAATCTTTTAAGTAACTTCAGCTTTGGCACAGTTTTCATGTTGCTTCTAATGCCACACACAAAGATAAATTAAACCCACCCAGAAATGAGAACTAATCCACTATATTATAGGACTGTGTGTGTGTGTGTGTGTGTGTGTGTGTGTGTGTGTGTGTGTGTATTTGTATATGTATACATATATCCACATATGTAGTTATACAAATATGCAAAACATGCTTACTATATGTAGTATTATGTACTTATATGCATGTAACACGTTGATGTAATTGTTAATTTTCATTTCTTAGTATTTTTTTTTTACACATTCATTTATAAAATGTTTCTTCTTGGCCTATAGAAAAAATGGGAGGTGGGGAGAGGACCTGTCACCATTCCAGAAGGAAAGGAGTAGCCTCGGAAATGTGATTTGATTTAAATTCTGAACATACGTATAAGAACTGTAAGACCTTTGCAGCCTTTGAATTTCTGTATACTTCTGTGTAAAATGATGACTTAAAAAAGCAAACCAACAAGTTACAAAAATTGATTAACACTGTAAAGGATGGCTAGCCAGTGTCTCAATAAGTTGATTGTGGTGTTTGAAAAACATTTCTTTCATAGTTTTCGATTTTTAGTAGTAAAGAAGTTTATTTGGAGTGTCTCCATTTATTGGGATCAAAAGCAAAAAAATAGCTTCCTTCAGAGAACCACCAGAGCACCCTATAAACAGTGCTATGTGAACTTACTTTTTCCTCCTTATAGTAGACCTGGATAGTTTTGACCATAGCTAGGTTGTGACTGCCTCCCGTGCAGCCCCATCTGCTTACGTTTCAGTTCTGACTCTGCACTATTTATTTAAAAACCTCAACCATGCATTCCCAGACATCCTTTGCAGAGAACTGAGTCTCTGATACTACTCTCTTCTTTTGTCCTGCCTCTTCTGGTCCTAAGGGACAGATGAGAGAACATCATCAGCAAACGCAAACTGGTCTCCTCAAGGCGTAGCACTAGACACTACTCTCACTCATCTTACTCCGTGAGTAGCGTCAAGATGAAGAAGCAGGTGCACCGGCAACTAACTCACCTCACCAATGAGGACTTTGCTCTTAGCATCTCTAAAGACACCTGTAACCAATTTAACCAATTTAGCTACACCTCGACTCCCACATTGTGGGGTTATCAGGTGATCGGCCAGATCCTAATGACAGCTATAGTCTAACTCAGCTGGGCAGAATTAATGGTCTTTCTTTCTGAAGAGTGTACAACTTGATGAACTGCTCTGCTGAATCATTTCACCTGACATCCTTCATGGCCCCATCACTTCTCCCTGATTTGGGAAGAATCACTGACCAGGACTTCTCCATGGAGAAGCCTGTGTTTTTTGTGTGGGAGGGCTCTAATTAAAGAGCCATTCCCTTACATTCTTCTTCAACAGGAACACTTTAAAGTCCATTAAAGTCCAAAGGATCTCAACCATCTTATACTTACCTTTAAATGGAGTTCTTCAAGAATCCAGACAAGTGACTAGGACCCATTATTTATGGTTTCTAAGTGTGGTGTTCTTAGTATTTTCTTTATGTTTTGATTCATAACAAAATCTTGGACATTAGAATAAAGATCATTAACCTTACTGAAAAGTCAAGTAGATAGAGCCACACAAGCCTGCCCAGCCCAGCTCAGCACCAGTACTGAAGGCTAGCAGTACAGTTACGCATGATGATCAGATAGGTAATGTAACAGTAAAAAGCATTGTAGTTTTTTAAAAGAGTTCATAACCTTTAGTGGAACTGGTAAGCGATTAAATCAGAGAAAATTGTTCTTGGATCTCATAGCTTTTCTTAATAGAATAAAGTCTAAAAGCAATTATGGCATATGCTGAATATGTATTTTTTAATAGTATGAAATTTTGCTGAATGTTGTCAAGATGAATGACTCCATTTGCTCTGAGTAGCAGGAGGAGCGACGAAGAAAAGGGAAGGGAAAATGTGTGTGGAACAAACTGTTTCACGATTAATGCCTCTTGCCAACAACAACAATAATAATAATAAGCAACTGAAAGAATTTGTCTCTTCAGGAAAAATATGCCCCCAAATAAGGGTTATCCCTGCCTTTTAAGTGAACATAATCAAATGAACAAACATGAGAATTAGATAACTGAATATTTTGACTTGAAAAAAAAAAGTAGCCACCAAATATTCCTGTTAGTGTTGTCAACAAACAGAAACTAGAATCACCTGGGAGATAAGCCTGTGGGGGGGGGGGGTTATCTTGATTGCATTAATTAATCTGGAAAGCCTCGCCCACTCTGGGCAGAGTCATTCCCTGGCTCTGACCTTGGACTAGGAAGAGCAGGTGGGCTGCAGCTCACCTTTTGTTCTCTGCTTTCTAATTGTGGATACAGTGCTGCCAGTAACTACAAGCTCCTACTACCTGACTTCCTTGTCAGGTGAACTGTAGCTTTCAACGGTGAGTCAGAGGAAACCCTCTCTCCCTTCTGTCATTTATGTCAGAGTATTTTTTTCCAGTGACAAGAAGAGAAAGTAGGATGCTAGGGAACAGCTTACAGCTGTTTGTTGCTGTAAGCTTCAACTTCCAGGTTAATTATTCATTGTTTTGTGTCTTAAGTGGTGGGCTGAGCTTTCCTCATTCCTTGTCTTCCTGCAGGCGGCAGCCGGTGAGTCCTCCTCCACCACCGCGGCCAATTTCCCCACCTCATACTTACGGCTACATTTCAGGACCCCTTGTCTCAGATATGGATACCGATGCCCCAGAAGAGGAGGAGGACGAAGCTGACATGGAAGTTGCCAAAATGCAGACCCGAAGGCTGTTGTTACGTGGGCTGGAGCAGACCCCAGCATCCAGTGTTGGGGACCTTGAGAGCTCGGTCACTGGGTCCATGATCAATGGCTGGGGCTCAGCCTCAGAAGAGGACAACATTTCCAGTGGGCGCTCCAGTGTCAGTTCATCGGATGGCTCCTTTTTCACTGATGCTGATTTTGCCCAGGCTGTTGCTGCAGCTGCGGAGTATGCAGGCCTGAAAGTGGCTCGCCGCCAAATGCAAGATGCTGCTGGTGAGTCCTGCACACCCTTCACCAAGAAATGCACGAGTCACTCACTAACCTCGTCCCTGTCATGTTTCCTGAGTGAAATCATCCCCAGCTTTTCTCTTTTTTTATTGCCTGTGGAAAAAAATTCAAGAATATGACTCTTGGTTTGATTATTTGTTAACCAAGACGTTTAAAATTATTTATTTTACTTTGATAAACTCTATATAATGTGACTGATGAAAAGCTGACCATAATGTTATTGATGATGATCATGGCAAATGTGTACATATATTTACATATGTGTTTTCATATATTTCTCCATATGTGTGCTGTGTTTTTTTCTTTAGGGTTTAATTATATTCAGCAAAATGAACTTTGTGCTACTATGTACATATTTCGAATGGGTTTAATGCAGAAAGTCACTAAAATGTACTTCATTTGGGTAGTTCTGTTTAACATTTCTGTAAGATAAGTAAGAAAATACCCAGTTGGAACACTCAAACCATTGGGAAATAGCTCCTTAATCTTGTATTAGTCACTGGGATCACAATCCCTGATGGAAATTCTATCAGAGAGAAAGGTTGTGCTTTGACCCAGTGAAGAAGACAGGGCAGACAAGCTCAGTTCCTGGTAGGTGCTTATGTCTGTGGCTACTCACATTGCAGGACAGATGAGGCTGAGAATCCCTCTAGGACCGGCAAGGGTTTAACCTCCCTCCGACGGCCTGGTTCTTATGACCCATGTCTGCCAACCAGACCCTACTTTATAAAGGTTCCATGGTTGCCAGAGCAGAACTACCAACCAGGGCACAAATGCTGGATATGAAAGTCTGTGGAGGAACAGTGAAAGCGAAATGCCTCTTTATGCTTCGTATCAGTTTAACTGACAAGATGTTTGAAATATGCATACATCTTTGAGCATAAATGTTTCATATTTTTAATCTAAAAGTTGAAAGAGCAAGTTAATATAAATGCATATTACGTTTCCTCATTCCCCCTTTTCATTGCTGGAGCCTGGTATAATGAATGTACTTATTTCTAAATCATTTTTACTTAATTTCTCCACTCCACTCTTACTTAGGAAATAGCATAAGAAAGAAAATAATTGAATTTTCAACAAACGTTATATAGTCTTTTTTTTGTTGAATGAATATGTATATATGTGTATATATTATGCATGTCTGTATATATTATGAGTGTGTGTGTGTGTGTGTGTGTGTGTGTGTTTATTTGTGCCTCTCTGTATTTCTGGTAGCCAAGAAAATACCAATAGTTAACGAAAACAATATGGTCAAAGAGAAAAAAAAAACATATTCCAGGAAATGAAAAGATCATCACAAGTCAAAACCTGCTGCCTTTTTTAATTCTTGTAGTTTAAGAACTGTCACATTGGCAGCTTCACTGGCTTATGTAAGAGACTTTACTGCTCATTACAGTTTATCAGTGTAGAATATAATCAGATAGTTCAGTTACAGCACAAGGCCATCTCTCTACATTATTCATTGTATAGAAAAAGATATCTAATATTTATCAACACATTAGCACAAAACATGTATTTACTCCAGGCCTATATTTTATAAAATTCAACCAGTAGCAGCTAAATGTAGTCATACTTGCAAACCTAATTATATTTATTGATAAATGAATAAATAACATATATGTACATATATATATATATATGCGCTTTACTTTAGTTTGCAATCCTCTATAAAAAAATAGATACATAAGATTAAGCAGCTCAAACTAGCGTTTGCAGGTTGCATTAATGGCGTGTGTCAGCTCATTAAGTCAAGGAAACATAGGAATAACGTTGAAAATTCATCTGTAATCGACCTTATGCCTCGGGCGACTATGAGTGGTAGATGGCCTTATACAATAGAATGAATAATGGTTTCCATCTCGGCCCTAATTCTCTGTTTTCATGGATATGTAACTTTAATTGTAATAGTCTCCATCCTAACTAGAGAGAGTTGGGTTTAATATTTTATTGTATTGTAATTTCGTGGCACTTCTGGTTTCATTTGGCTCATAATTATAATGAACTAAACATGCGCTGGCCTCTGCCTATTACAGTCTTCTTTTCAAGAAATGGCGGTGCTTATCATGGAACTTGGAGTTAATATGAATGGATAACCCAATCCCATTGCTTCTCACTTGGCTGCATTAATGTCCATTATTTAATGTGCCTCAGTTAGCATTTTTAAATGTGTCAATTTCGATGTATGTGGCTTCTCCTGTTTATAGCCAGAGGATATGTCTGATTCCCAAGTCTGTCTAAAGTTTCTTGTGGTTCAATGAAAAACAGTGGATTTGGGGATGGAATCTCTAGGAACCAGAATACTGTAGGTCAGCATAACTCTGAAAGGCTTCCAGTCCCATTTTCGATGACACAACTTGTATCTTGATGTTATAATATAATATCTCCATAAGGGACAGGGAATTGGATGACACTGAAATGTGCCATGTCTCCTCAGTAAATTAAATTTTTACTATCACCCGGCAATGTTGTGTGTTCAAAGATAACTGCCTTTAACATGCTGGAGTCATGGGGCCACTGAATATTGAGGATTGACAAATCTCTTGTGGCAGAAAAGACACAGAAGCATAGTTAGGTAAGACTATGTATGTGAGCTAGATCAATTTCAGAGCACTTCCAAAGAGAATGCCCAAGAACATAATTCCCTTATTAGGGTTCTATCTTCAAAGAATACCGTAAACAGGCTTAATTGAAATAAGGGTGTAACTAATCCAGGTCATTGTTACAACATGAATTTGTTGAGGTGTCTGATTCTTCTTCATCCTGAAGCAGCAAGGCACTGAGTGTATGATAGAAGAAAATAACAGCAGTCTTATTTTAAGAACGTTTTAGTGATGATAGCTGGAAAACATAATTATCCTGTTCTTCTTAAATAAAGAGAATCATGAACTTCAGCGGAATAAAAGTCCTGTGGTTTTTACCCAAAGAAAAAGACTAAGGATGCTTTCGGGGTGTTTTCTCCAGTTAGCATAAATAGAAGGGGAGGGGAGCTCGTTATTTGGTTGGTGCTAAGTATGTTTTAAAATGAGAAATTGTGTCTAGCTTGAGTGTTTTGCTCTGGCTGATCCTGTGACATTAAAATTCACTGATGAGTCTGCCTCTGGCTCTCCTCCTCAGGCCGCAGACACTTCCATGCCTCTCAGTGCCCTAGGCCCACGAGTCCTGTGTCTACAGACAGCAACATGAGTGCTGCGGTAATCCAGAAAGCCAGACCCACCAAGAAACAAAAACACCAGCCAGGACATCTGCGCAGAGAAGCCTACACAGATGGTAAGTCCATTGAAACTGACTGAAACATCTACCAGGCTCGCCTGTTTTCCCGATGTCTCTGTGGCTAGCGAATGTGTTTGCTGACATTAGAAATCACATTAACATTCACAAAGAGTAGCCTTATATTACTTACAGGAGCAGAATTCTTCCACCAGCTTGGCACCATCTTTAGCCTTTACAGTCTTCTAAACAGCTGGCTATTTAACAAATTAAATAAGTATTTTTTTTAAAGTACATGTTGTAGCTCACACAATGCCCATGACTCTCATTGATGTCATAACGTTGGATTAACCTTTGTCAGCTGCACTGATCAAACCTCTAGGATATCTCTATTTCCTTCATTCCATCTTTTAAAAATAATTCTGCTCTGAAACAAAGGGCAATAAAGGTCCTGGAATTTTTTTTTTTTTTTTTTTTTTTTTGCAACCACAGTGGTTTTACAGGTAGTCTGTGTGCCGAAAGTTACCTCAAACCTGTTTCTTGGTGCTTTCGAGTGCAATATGGACCCTTGTGGAAAGGGAACACTTGTATTCTCCAGGGGGCAGAGGGAGATAAGACAAACATTGTGATGTTGTCTAGAGAAGGCCTTTAATGAAAGTGCCTCAGGTGGCCCAGACTTTATTAAAGCACCACCACCTTCTCATTTTATAAAACAACCCTTCAGGCTTTATTGGAAATTCATGTAAGATAAATTCTCTCAGACTCACCCATCTTGTCAAGTTTTCTGAATTTGCTAAAGGGGTGTGGAAGGAACGGTATCCCAAGCTGTTTCTCCACATCCGGGATGTCTTCAGCCACAATCCGATTAGGACGTTCCTTACCAAAGCAGCAGTTTTTCATAAAGGCTATCATTTGCTATTATCATCTGAAAGCTTAATATTATAGATCCTTATCCAAGGTTATGGGGAAGGGGGTTTGGGGAGGCACTTTTCCCTGTGAGTCTTGCCACTTGACAGTAAATTTTAATACAAATTCACAGCATGGTGAGCACAAGTCATTTTTCGAGGAGCGGTTGTCTGCACTATTATCTGAAGTTTATTCTAAGTTTTTTCCCTCACGAGCATCGATCTGATATTAGCCTACATTAAATACTGGCATGACACAGCACACCTGGGCCTCCTGGCTTCTGCCCTGGACTCTTTCGTCAGTGAAACTGAGCTGTCAGAATATTATCTGATTTTGAAGGGTTATTACAGTGGCTCTGGGTATGTTTGCCTCTGTGATGGGACAAACGCTAGGTGTAAATCCTCAAACTATACGGGCAGTCTTACATTTATGGGACCCCTGTAATGGCATTTTACAAGTTTTATTACTGTTTTATCAGTGTTTATTATCTAGAAGACAGGAGTCTTCACTGGAAGGCTGCTCAAATGTCAAGCCTGGATGTAAACACATCTAAATTGAACTCGTATGGAAAAATCTAGCCTAAAACTTTGTGTAGACGTTTCTGCCTCTTATTTATATGTATTTGGAGGGGAATCTGGACATGCTTTCAAAAATGCTTTAAATAGTGAAGACTTGCTAGGTTAACGAGCATAGCATCACAGTTACATATAATGCCATTCTTAAGAATTATGAGCTGTATTTTTGTCCTGCATCCTACAGGATTTATTTTGACATATTTAAAAACTAAATATGAATAGCAGCTAACCCTCAAATTAAATTGAATGAGAAAGCACTGAAGTTATTTTTTATTTAATTTCAGGAATGCCAAAGAACCGTATTAAAAGCACAGTGAAAGCTCAAAAGTTAATGTGAAATATTACTTGGGTTTCGAATAGCTCATTTCACAAAAGTAGTTATGCAAATTATTGGTGCTTACTCCAGTGCAAAAGATAATAATAGTTTTCTGTAATGAAACTAAATAATGGAGAAACAAATAAAGCTGGCTTTAAATTATAGCTTTATCTTCTCTTCAACAGAGCAAACTATCTATCCTTAAATTATGGTTAGACTGTTTCGTCAACTCATTTCTGAATATTTCTTTCAAAACGCTGCATATGATTTATACCTCCTAAGATGGATATTAATTACTTAAAACCATGAAATTTAGATCTTTCTTAATGTACCAATCAAGGAATACAATCTACCACTCACACTCACACTTTATAATCCTGGTACGCAAATTCAGGGCTTTGTGTTTCCTCCTCCATTATCTATGCTCAAAGCTAATATGTGTGTGCTTTTGATAGAAGCTCTGAAATAGAACCAAAAGTGATTTTCTCAGAAAGCAACCTCATCAAATTATTATACTGCATTTAGAAAATATATCTGAGGGCCTGGAGAGATGGCTCAATGGTTAAGAGTACTGGCTGCTTTTCCAGAGGACCTGGGTTCAATTCCCAGCTCCCAAATGTCTATACCTCCACTTCCAGGGTATCTGCCACCCTCATACAAATATACATGTAGGAAAAACACTGATGCACGTAAAATAAAAATAAATATTTTTAAAATGAGAATATATCTACAGATCATATAATGAAGCATCCGAGCAGCAGATACAGGGTATTTTTAATAGTATGTTGTAAAAGATTAATGGGTAGAAGAAAGAGGTTGAGCTATCTTTTATTAAAAATCATAATTAAATGTATTGGTAAAATATGGAGTAGTTTGTAGGATTTTTTTGTTTGTTTCCTTATTTTTTTTTAAGTACAGTATATTGACTGTGTTGGATAAGTTTGTTTCTTGAGTATCAATTTTGAGAACTATGTTCAGAGTGGATACCATTCTTGATCTTATAGCATCTTTGCTTTATAAATATCAGCCAGACTTCAATTTTCTCAATAAGTTGTTTTCTAAAGCATCTAAAAGAATAAACAAGATCTCATTCTGAGTCAATGAAGTATAATTTTTGAGGATTCCTATCAGCTAGACTTATCTGTTGTTTGATCGGTCCTGAAACAGTACCGCAGACTTTACAATTAGAGCAACACATCGCATGCCCTCAGAACTCGGGAGGGGAAGTGGGAGATGGAGTTGCCAGCAGGGGTGATCTTTTGGAGACCGTCCTCCAGTATCTTTTCACAGTCTCTTCTCAGCCTATAATTGTTCTCTAAACTCTTTCTATCAGAGCATTAGTCGTATTGGATTAGACCCCATTTAGTAAGCTCATTTTAATCTTATGGCTTCTCAAAAGATTCCAGATACAGTCACATTCTTGGAGAGTGGAGGTTGTGGCTCTGAGTGTGGTGTTTGGCGGGGACATGATGCACACAGGAGCCCTCCAGCCCATCCAGCATCATGGCCATGCCCTGCCCTGTAGGTAAATACAAGACATGGTGAACACCCAGAGAACACTTGCCTACAAAGCAGAGTACCACATCCTCCATTCCTACTTACAGCATTGATTATTTATTTATTTCGTGTTTGCCACGTTCAGGCTTAACCCAGATGGAGGACAGGATTAAAATATATGAATATGTATCAACCGAAATCTGTTGAGTTAAAGTACATTTCTAGGACCTTCTAATAGACTCTTTCCTCCCCCCTTTCTACCCTCCCAATACATTTACACACTTCATTTTAAAACCAAATCTATATTTCTCTAGTCCTCCTCCTCATAAATTATAAATTCACCGTCCTCTTTAGAATGATGTTATCTTGACTTGATTTATCTTTAATTACAAGGTCTTCGGACTTTAAGCAGTTACATAAATAGTGTTGGATCTGTCTAGCAAGTTAATGCTGTGCTGGGAGATTTACCTACGTATGTGTTCCTATGTATTTCGTTATGTGAGGGATAGTTTGTTAGCGGGGGATTCTTGGAAAGGGAGAAACTGTTAGTAAGATTACACAAGGAGAGACAGAAAGATGGCTGAGACGTTAAGAGTACTTGCTGCTCTTGTAGGGGACCCAGGTTCAGTTCTCATTACCCACATGGCAACTTATAATTTGTAATTCCACGCCCAGGTGACTAGATATCCTTATTGGCCTCCAAGGACATCAGGTATGTACACGATGTTCATACATACATGCAGGCAAACATCTACAAAAATATCCTTTAAAAGGATTATGTAATATTTCTAAAAACTAGGTCCATAATTTCCTCATTTTTCAATTGTATTTAAACTAATGCATAAATTGGGAGAAAACGCTATTTTCAGCAGTAAGGGAAAGAGAGAACTAACTGTTCACGTGAAAGTAACCTCAGTTTAGCCTCATAATTATTTCATAAGACCCGAGGAAGAGAAATTTATTTAACCATCTGTTTATAAGATATATGAAACCTGCTAGTTTCAATTAGGTACAGGAAGTTATGATTCTTAGCACAGTCTCTAGGTTCTCTTTTTAACTGGAGTTACAGACATGTATCCAGAATATCTAGTAATAGATTTTAACTTCGGATTCCCAGGACTCTGCTTGATCTTATGATAGCAATAATTATAGTCTTCGATGCCCTGAAGAGCCCAGATATTTTGTTATTTAATAAAAGTGACAGTCTCTGGCCACCTGATAATGTGTTTGCAGTTGGTTTGTGTTTATAGCAAGCAACAAACAGGAGTGCACAGATCCTCATGCCCTTTGCCTGCAGGTAGGCTCTTGATTAGCTTCTCATTTTACTGTCAGTGCCTGCTTCCAGCCATTCTGCCTTGCATCTCATGGTTTACACCATTGATTACAGTCTATTTCTTAACTCTCTCTTGCCTTCTTCAGTTTCAATGTGTATATGTGATGTGCCAGACAGATATTCTCCTACTGAGATAGATCAACAAGACATCATTCCATTTAGCATCAACCAACAAGTAGCAGGAGATGGAGGGTTGGGGTCCTAAATACTTTTCTCTAAGTATTGCCTTGGGGCTAGGTAAAGAGTGGCAGCCTATAATCTCAGCATTTAGGTGGCAGAGACAAACGGTTCTCCCATGAGTTCAAGATCAGCACAGACTACATAGTAAGAATCTGTCTCTAAAGACAAAAAACAAAAAACAAAAACAACAAAAAAAACAGAAACAAATGAAAACACAAATTGTATTGCAAAAACTCCATTGAAGTTGTCAACAAAGGCGAAAATCTGTGCCGTGATGACTGGCCATATGTATGTCAGAATAAGGTACTAGGGATCCAGGAATTAGAAGAAAACTGTTCTATTGACTAGACTTTTGCCACAGATGTGTTGAGACTATTAATACTATACTGTAGCACAGTAAGCCATGACATATAATAATAAACTTTTTAAAAATGAGGCATTCCCTAAAGAAACCAGCAAGCTGTAAAATATTCAGACTTTCTTCTTTTACAGTAAAGTGCAGTTTATTCTGGCATCTTGACTTCAGCCTGTAGTGTCAAAGAAAATTCAGTTTAGAAAGACCTGTTGTTTTTGTTGTTGTTGTTGTTGTTGTTGTTGTTGTTAAAACAGAGGGAGGTAGTTCCTTTTATAACTATGCACATAAAATGCATACATAAAAATATAAAAGCATGCCAGATCCTATATTAAGCTAATGTTGTTCAGAGCTTCCATTTAGTATCATAGTAAGATCTAGGAGGAACATGGTGGGGGGGGGTATTTTGAGAGAAGGTCTCACATAGCCCAACCTAGCTTGGACCTGGTTATGTAGCTGAAGAGGACCTTGAAGAGACATTGAAGAGAATGTCTGTGCTTCTTCTGCATCTGCATTCTGAATACCGAGATCACAGGCATATGCCTCCATGCCCAGTTTAGCTGGTGGTGGGGATCAAACCCAGGGCACTGTGCATGCTGAGCAAGCATTCTGACTGTGACTAATCTCCAGCCCCTTCAAGGCATAGTTTCAATGTTTAAGAATTTCTTATGCAGGCACATAAAAATGATAATTAGTAGGCATTGTCAATGTCAGTAGAACATTTATAAACAACCTATGTATTCCTCTGTGGGGAATGGCTAGCTAGTGATGTGTTTATTGAACAAAACATGCAAAAAAAGAAATTATTCACTTGAAGATACATACAATTACATGGCTAGGGGAAAGAAACATTGCAGCTCATGTTAATAGAAATATAAGGCTGTTTATTTGTATATGATGCTTTTTATCAGGTTACTACCTGCAGATGGGTGGATATTATACATAGCTCCATTGCTTATAATACCTGGCTGTGGATGGTGGTCTCTTGAATCATGTGATTTAACATCGCAGTTATGTTGTATAAATACAATCTGGGGAGTGAACTACAGGAAACTCTCAAAACTGATCACTCTTCCTAATCAATGCTGGGGTCTGAAATAGAGACGAGACATACTGTCATGCCTCAATTCATATATGACTTTGATATTTTTACCATGGTATTTTTTTTTACCATGAATACTTTATATTTGAAATCCCAAGGCTAGAATTATGCTAAATATGTTTTTAAATATTTGATGAATCCTTTTTGATATTTTCCGTTACCTGTAAAATGTGAAAACATTGCTCTCCCTACCCACGTGCCTGGGTCCATAGCGATGCTGACTATTCTTTGTCTGGTTTTGACTACTCTTGAAATGAGCACTGAGCCCAAAACTAGCTATTTTGTATTTCTGCCTGCGCCTGCGTACACTGAAAGCCCCTCCTGTTCACTTTCCTAAAATTGAACTCATGCATCTTTACAAACACCTCTTGCTCACTCCTGCACTCCACACCTGAGGGGATGCTTTAATACCTACTTAGTAAACTACAGCCCAAGGCCTAGGAGTCATCTCTCCCAGCTTCCCCTCCCCAGTACTGTAGTCCATTGATCATTAAGGAGCACTAATTTGCTTCCTTTATCTCTCGAATGTACTGTCTGCCCTCCTTTACGCACCCTGTTATAATATTTTATCCACTGTCGTATATGTGGACTATTATCATGACTCTTAGCCTCCTGGAATAAAGTCTCTTTGACTGTTTGTTATCCTTCTTTCCCAGCACAGTCAAGTCAATCTGCCCCTGAAAACTTGTTCATATTAAGTTAACTTACCAAATACCATGAAAATATATTTCTCTTTATTCATGGACTATATCTGAGAATCATTTTTATGAATTTCAGTACTGCTTGAGAAGAATGCATTTCCTGAATATTAAATCGTATGCATGATTTCAATGTGAGAGACATTCATGGTGTGAAAAATTTAAGCCAACATGCTATATAAAAGATATTGCTTAAAACGTAGCTACTAGATATAGGTGTACATATAAAACAAGCAATTAACCTACATTTCTACCAGTAATTATCTCCTTTAAAATGTCTGAGTCGAAGGTGAAGAGAGCCTTATCTGAACCATAGATGTGTGTGATAAAAATGTGAAGAACAGTGAAGTAGAGATTAAGAATCTAAAGGCACACAGAAAAACCCTGTCTCGAAAAACCAAAAAATAAAAAAAAAGAAAGAGAGAGAGAGAGAGAGAGAGAGAGAGAGAGAGAGAGAGAGAGAGAGAATCTAGAGGCATTACTCTTTCTTTGGTCTGCTGGTAGACAGCTTTGATATCAGAAAATGAGTTAAAAATCTATGTGGAGCTTTTCACCTACACATTAAGAAGGGATTTGGGCCAGATTAGAGATGGCAATTAAAACTTAAGTGCCAGCCTTAATCAATTTGAAGAGGTTGCCTAAAGACGTAAGAGAATATTCATCTAAGACCTATGAGAGCATGCTGAAATCAAATAGGAAGCTCTGCTGGGTGGGGTGGGGCGGGGGGCAGGTGGGTGTGGGGAAATTATGGTGCACATGCACAGTAGCAGTGAGCTCCACAGTAGAGAGTCTCTGAGTCACGATCCTGTGATTCAATTTTTACATGCTGGATGATGATAAAAAGTATTAAAATCATCAGTCTTAATTTTTGTTACCTCCGACTGCTCTAGATCAAGTAAGATAATAATATTTCAAAATTGAATGAGACTGCAAAGATAAACCTAGTTTTGATGAATCTACACATGTCAGATCTCACAGCATTTAAATTATTCTTTTTAGATCTTCCTCCCCCTCCAGTGCCACCGCCTGCTATAAAATCGCCCACTGTCCAGTCCAAGGCACAACTGGAGGTACGACCTGTAATGGTGCCAAAACTTGCTTCTATAGAAGCAAGAACAGACAGATCATCAGACAGAAAAGGAGGCAGTTACAAGGGGAGAGACGCTCTGGATGGAAGACAAGTCACTGACCTGCGAACAAATCCAAGTGACCCCAGAGAAGCACAGGAACAGCTAAACGATGGGAAAGGCCGAGGAACAAAGGCAGCAAAGCGAGACCTTCCGCCAACAAAGACGCACCTTGTCCAAGGTACTAATTTTCCAAACAGCAGACAAACACAGAATTCCATAAGCTCTCAAGATCCACAGGAAGGCTTTCTGTAGCCATATGTAAAGAAATGTGATTGAGGCCTTTTTTTTAATTGGATATTTTATTTACATTTCAGATCTTATCTCCTTATCCCATTTCTCCCCTTGCCCAGGAACCCCTTATCCCATCTCCCCCCCTCCTCCTGCTTCTTTGAGAATGTGCCCCCACTTACTGCATCCAGCCTTCATGGGACCAAGGATCGATTGAGGCCTTTCTAACAGTGGAACAGGAATGTGTCTAGCTTATTTAATACAATTCACTCTAATATGTGACACCACACAAGCTTCTTTGAAGTGATGCCACACGAACTGAATGCATGAATGTCAAGGTATCACCCTAAAGACATAGCAATTGTGACAGCTAAGATGTGAAAAATAGTATCCCATTCTCTGCATCTAACCAGTTGTGTGTCTTTGTAATAGTCTCCATCTCTAGCAAAAGTAGACATCTTTGATGAGAGATGAGAGCTATACTTATCTGTGAGTATAAGGGGAAGTATTTGAATGCAGTTAGAAATTACATTAGCTCCAGAGAGGGGCAGTAGTAAAGTCTCTTCTAGGGTCTGTGACCTCACCAGCTACAGGGGCTTAACTAAGTTTATGGTATGAATTCTCTCCGATCAGTTGGGCTTTAAGTCCAATTAAATCATTGTTGGTTACACCAAAGGATACTAGTCCCACTCTTGCACCATTGGGGATATCTTTCTAGGCCAGTTGATGTTATTTGTAAGCATTACAGCTGGGTAGAACTACCCTAGTTGATATGTCTTCAATGAAAGCCCTATACAAAGCTGAGGAAACACCAAGAAGGGTGTGTGTGTGTGTGTGTGTGTGTGTGTGTGTGTGTAAGATGGTAAGATCCAAATGAGCCAGATGCCTACTGCTAGGTAATATCCCCCAGTCATAAAAGAGAAAAATGCACCCGTGACCTTTTCAATGTCATTCAGGTAAAGGACCAGCATAAAAACACCAGTAGTTGACATGCCAACATGGAGAGCCTAAATTTCATAAGCTTCTACCCCCAAACAAAGAGTTGTATGTGGCCAGAGGCTACACAGAGAGAGAATCAATTGCCTCCCAGGCTGAGTTTCCATATAAGTTGTCCAATCCCAAATGATTGGGCTGTGAACACATGTACATGTAAGCAACAGTAAATAGACTCAGTAGATTGTACATATGTATGTTGTTGAAGGTAATATTTAAAAAGGCGGTGTCTGGCTTGTTCTTAAGCTGCCACCATGATCCTGACTAGAAGTGGCCAGACGCCAAGAGCGGCAGCAGGCTCTCACCGCTGCTCGGCTCAGACTGTGGCTCCAGCCAGCTTAAAGCCCCGGCCCTGCCACCCAGGAGACACCATCATGGTGGCTAGATGAGCCAATCTACCATGCTGTCCACAGTGTTTGGCTGAGCCCAGATAATACCTGCCATCCCATGGTACCCAGTAGAATGAAGACTTTTAATAGTTAATGGCTATCCAATATTCCAATATTTAGATATTTGGAGATAATTAACAAGATGCCCACACAATTAGAATAGTTACCCAATACCCAACCTTTGATATAAACTGTTACCCAGGACTGTTCTTGATGCATCTGTAGATCTCCATGGCTGTTACTTCTCTCCTCTCTCCTCCTAGCTCTTTCTCTTCATTCCTTCATCTTCCCTCCTCCCAACTCCTCACTCCACCTACCCCTCATACAGCCCAATCACTGAGCTTTATACAAATGTAGTGAGAAGATATCTCTCTTCAGTGTGTGTGTAACAATAATTTTTAAAAAGAACTCATAAATTAGGGAACTGGGCATGAGAGGAGTTGGAGTGGTGATATAAATACGTCACATTTGTGTATGATATTCTGAAAATATATTTTTTAAAGAAATCATGTCCTTCAGTTAGGAGTTGGTGGATGGTAGTATACTTACCAGCAGAGGCCTTGAGTTCAGTGTTAGCATCATTCTCACACACACACACACACACACACACATACAACCCTAGAAAGATTGAAGGTAAGAAATATAAGAGGGCCAAGGAAGCGACACAACAATTAAAACACTTACTTTTTAAAGCATAAGGACCTCATTTCCGATCTCCAGAACCCATGGTTAATGCTGGGTACACATAGCTGTCCACCCATAATTCCTGCTGTGGAAGGCAGAAGCAGGAAATCTTCAGAGAAAGCTGGCTATTAGCCATCAGTGAGCTCTGGGTTTGACTGAGCAATCCTGCCTCAACAAATAAGATGGAAGAGTGAGGGAGGATGATTCCAGACATCCATCTAGGGCATCAGTGTGAATGCACACTCACAGACACACATATAATACACCCACACATAGCGAAAGGGGAAAAACAGTGCTAGATATGGTTACATGTATTATGACCAGCCCCCCCCCAAAAAAAAATTAAATAAATATAATAAGGTGAAAGTTTGAAGTAATTTTATGAGAAAAGGCAATTTTTGAAATGTGTCATCCATGATTACTATTTACAAGAACTATTGACTGCAATAGTCAGAATAGAGCCAGACTTTGGAAGACTGAAGAGGGAGTAGACATTTTGTAAGGGACGTGTGTTAGTCATTTCTATGTTTTTATGACCAGAGAGTATTATAAAAACAGCTTATAGCAGGAAAGATTTATTTTACAGGGGAGTGCAGGGCAGAAAGAGTATAGTGGGAGGAAGATAATCTGGAGCAAGAGCAAGCAGGAACCAGGAGCACGTAGAATATTCAACGATACCCAACCACCACATCATTGAAGTAATTCTACCTACTCAGCCCCCCTCTTACGGGTTCCACAGCTTCCCAATATAGCACCACCTGTGAGGAAGCTTTCGAACAGGAACCTATGAGACATTTCACATTCAAGAAAAAGGTGACGAGCAAGAATTCTCAGAAGGTTTGGATGAGAAGGCTGATACAGAGTTTGTCAAGAGAGCCAAATTGGTGGAAATGTTTCAGGACAGGAATTGACGTCCTTATATTCTATAGCAACAAAGCCAAGTAAGAGAGATTAAAATAAAAAAGATATAAAAAAAAGGTAAAGAAAGAGGTTGGTGGTGCTGGCACATGCCTTTAATCCTAGCACTGGGTGAGAGGGTCCAGGAGTTAGGGGAGAGGCAGGTGAATCTTGAGTTTGAGGCCAGCCTGGTATGCTGAGGTAGTTCCAGGATAGCCAGGGCTACACAGAGAAATGCTGTCTTGAAAAACAAAGAACTAAACAAAACAAGCAAACAAACAAAAAAAGTATTGATGGAGGAGACAGGAGGATTAATGAAGGAATTAACATGGGACACCTACTTGGGCAAGATTTGTAATCAGTCAGTTGCTCTGTGTGCTCAGAAACTTCCCTGTAACAAGAAGGATGATCCCTTTTGTTCCTGGACCAAAGTGGGATGCCGCAAGCACTCAGGTGTCAAGTGCAGCTCAAAGGCTGTGCCTTTCACACAGCCACTCCCACGGTGTGACCACAGAGTAATACCAACTTTGAATAGTTTATCTCTGGCCATTAAGCCAGAGCTGTTCTGGCACTAAACTTTTGACTCCCAGCCCTGTGTTCTGAGTAGTGATTTATATACTAAATATAATGATGTCGGTTATAGACTTCATGTCTGGTCAGAAAGTATGGCCGCTTTTGTGATGCTGAGCAAATTCCAAAGTATGAGGGATGCTTTAGGAGAGAACGACAGGGCTAGAAAGATCTGGGTGTGACAGAATGGGAGCACAGAGGAAGAAGAGTTGAAAGCAAACTTCAGAAATGTAATAAGTAGATATTACATCATGAAATTATTTCTATCTATAGTAGTAAGTTGGAAACTAGTTAGCTAGAAACAAGGAAACCTACTCTGTGAAATGCATGTAGCAGATCCAGTTGCTATTCAGCTATGATTTTCCAGATTTTGATTCGAACCATAACCCCAAGTGTGTCTATCATTAAATTATCATGGCTAAGCATTGCTGTAATTTTCACCTTCTTGATTCAATTTACATTATTTATTTAATGACAGAGGCACCCTGATTTACATATGTAATGAATGGATATTTTTTAATTAAGGAAAGTGTTTTTCTAGACGTGAAAGTCTGATCCTTTGTGCTGACATTTACCTCCGTTTGATTTATTCTTACACATATCAAATACTCATTGTATTATATTTATAGTACTAAGTCTTCAGATGTCTATAAGCATGTGCTCATGCATACAGAGAAGAGAGGGAGAAGAAAATTTGCATATTATGATTCATAGATATCTTAAGATTTTAGGTATTCATGTCCTCCCTGAGAACACTAATGCTATCCACGCATGCCTTGAAGACTGGCCTAATACAAATATTCTTACAATCAGCATTACTTCCATCACGCTGTGACCCCTTGGAGTTCCGAATAAGGACAGATAGCATTCTGGGTAATACAATGGAAAGAAAGATCCAGAAGTCTTTCCCATAGAGATGACATATAAATTGAGTGTTTAAGGCAGCCAGGTGTTGGTGATGCACACCTTGAATCCCTGCACTCGGGAGGCAGAGGCAGTTGAATCCCTTTGAGTTCAAAGCCAGTCTGTACTACAAAGTGAATTCTAGGACAGGCAGAGCTACACAAAGAAAGCCTGCTCCCATCCTTGCCCCCCCCCCAAAAAAAAAAAAGAAAAAAGGACTAGAGGTACCTAAAGGGTCGTTTACTTCGACAAGGTCATCACTGTAATCTTTTGAATGTTACAACCAATCTCAGAGGAGAGGCATCTTACAATCAGTGTTTAGCATATTGAGTATAAAGAAGTAGAACTGAGCTGGTTGTCGGAGCTATAGATTCTGGACACAGTTTATGGAAATTGTAGTTGCAATCATTTCTCTTTTTGCTCAAAACCATTTATTTATGCTCTATATGTCAGTCTAGGGCTATAACAACACATAAGATAGACAAAATTATATTCTCCGAATGTTATATCCTAAAGAATGGATGAAATTGCTTCAGAAAAGTTGGAAAGAAAAAACACAAATATCTGTGCCTAGTAGTGTGTGTGCAGCTTTGGAAAGAAAGGAGAATATGTTAGGGCACTGACATAACTTCTTCACGCTTGCATGTAAAACATATCCTGAGAAGATTGGTAAGGAAGGAATGGTTGCTGAAAGCTGAGAGAATAGTAATGTTACAACTCAGTAAGAACAGACAGGAGTCCCGGGATACAAGGACTGAAATGTGGCCAGTCCCATCACCTTCCTCAGCTTTATAGTGACAATGTAGATTTCATGATTAGACTTCATCAGGAAACAGAGTGAGATGGGACCTAAAACTACCAAATTTGAGCCAATTTCCCTTTTGTTTGGTTTTGGTTTTTCAACACAGACATTCTCCATGTATAGCTCTGGCTGTAAACCAGGCTGCTCTTGAATGCATGAAGATGTATTTGCATCTGCTTTCTGAGTGCTGGAATGAAAGGCGTGTGCCACCACAGCACAGCCCAGTTTGCCTTTTAAGAATACAGTTGTAGAGCAAGGAAGGAAGGAGCATATTGATTCCTGAGGAGAATAGACTTGGGGCAAAGTTCTCAAACAGAGGAATTTGAACATATTGTAGATGACAAACTGTACATAAACAGCAAGAAACAGGTTAAGAAGATACAAATGAAGAGAAACTGCACAGGAAGAGAAACCTCCCCAGAGTCAGAATTGTGGGTTGAGGCAAGGGGCCATTGAGGATTGTGACTGGTTTCCTAAGTGGCTCATGACTCTAAGGAGGAGACTTTTCTTGAAAGGACAGGGGAACAGTCATTCAGAACTGGTACCAGAGAGCTAGAAAGGAATCTCAATCCTTACCTTGTCTCTTGCAGAGAATATCAGAGGATTCAGAAGAAACCAAGCTTTATGCAGAGTAAAGAAATAAAAGGAGCATTGTGGGGAATGGCAGGGCAGGGAGAACTTTAGAAGAATCTTAACCCAGAGAGATGGCTGCTCCAGCAAGGGATCATATCCAAAAATATGATCTGGCTGGAATGCAGACATGCCACACACCTTTAATCCCTCTGGCTAGAAGATACACACGCCTTTTACCACACACCTTTAATCCCAATGAATGCCATCTAAATGAAGGTCAGACAAAGTAGAGAATCAAAGATTTGACTGAATAAGTCAGAGATAGGATATGCCTGTCTCTCGTGATAACAGACAGGAAAGAGAGGCTATTTAAAGAGTAGTGAGGGAGAGAGAGCCAATCAGTTCAGAGATAAATTCAGTGCAGTCTAGGTGAGTACAGTTGAGCTTGATTCAGAGCAAAGCAGTTGAGTTCAGAGCAGTTCAGTTCCTGGACTTCAGAGTCAGTCTTTCCAAGCAGAGAAATCAGTCAGAAGCAGAAAGAAGCCAGTTTGAATCAATCAACTTAGGAATTTGAGCAAGAACAGCTGAGGTGAACCAACAAGCCAGAGTTCAGGAAGAGCTAGAAAGCATGAGTTTTTTTCAGTAATAAGTCTTGGAGTCTGAAATATTCTAGGACTGGGTTAACAGACAAGGTTGGAAGCTGAAGCCTTCAAGGTCTGTGATTGCAGACAGAAGATTAGACTGTGCAGAGGCGAGAAGCTTCCAGGCCTCGCTACCAAGCCATGCATTGGTAAAGTGTGTGGTGTGGCTCTCTTCTCAATCCTTCATCTGAGGAAATAAAAGTGACATTTACATTTACAGAGAACACACAGAAGAGTTTATTTTTTATGAATGTATGTTCAGAATGTAAACTGACTCTGGAAGAAAAGTGAGCAAGCAGTCAAAGTGATTCAGCGTTAGTAAACTTAAAGTCGTAAGAGGATAGAAATTCAAGAAGCAGTTTACTAGCATGCCGTCTTGCTTATTTTCTATTGCTGTGAAGAGACACCACAACCAAGGCAACTAATAGGAGAAAGAGTTTACAAGGGGGCTCACATTTCAGAGGGTGAATTCAGGACCATCATGACAGAGAACATGACAGCAGGCAGGCAGCAGATGCTGGAGCAGTAGCTGCGAACTTATGTAAGTACAAGGCAAAGAAAGAGCTATCTCAGTATGGCTTGGCTTTCGAAATGTCAAAAGTCCACCTCAGATAGCATACCTCCTCTAACAAGGCCACACCTCCTAATCCTTCCCAAATAGTTGCACCAGCAGGGGACTATGCATTCAACTATGTGAGACTATAGGAACCATTCTCATTCAAATCACTACAAATGCCTTATTATTTGAAGTCAGCTTCTGTGATTTAGAGTTTAATGGTGCAAATACATTGAAGTTGGCATCTCAAGAAGGGGAGTCTGACCCTGAGCTTAAATCTCAATTGGGAACTGACTCCTTCCTACTAACTCCTTATAAGAACGCCTTGTTTACAGAGTGATTTCACTCTCTTATTTTGTTCATGTTAACAATAAGAGCTCCTATAAGCACATGTTCTACTATCATGTATGTGGGGATTAGAAACTAAACTACTTAAGATTTCATGGTAAATAAAAGAATGGAAGTCAATTGAGTCCACACTTGACTTGTTTCCTGTAATGGCTTTGGTCTCTTGTGTGTTTGGATGGATATTACCTCATGAATGTAGTCAATCCAAATTCCTAACCCCTGAGTGGAAAACAAGAGGTGATATTGTCATTCCAAAAGGCAGTCCTCCATGGTTCATTATGTTTGTAGTTTTGGTATTTATGCCTCAGAATCACTCGTGCTTGCCCATCCAGGATTACAGATAAGACAGGAGTGACTAGATATAAAATGAAAGTGTTCTGTCTAGTTCACATCCTCTCTCTGTATTTCTTTACACAGAGGATATTCTTCCGTACTGTAGACCTACTTTCCCAACATCAAACAACCCTAGAGATCCCAGTTCCTCGAGCTCAATGTCATCAAGAGGGTCAGGAAGCCGACAAAGAGAGCAAGGAAATATGGGCCGAAGGAATATGGCGGAAATGCAAGTACTTGGGGGATTTGACAGAGGAGATGAGAATAATGAAGAATTAGAGGTATGTATCATTTTCCCGAAGTTCTAATCTGTCTGTAGCTGTGATGTCAGCCTTTGATGTTCTGAACATTTGTCAGCATATAGACATGTAGCCATTCTCTCACAAATTTTCAGTATCCTAATGTCATACATGTTTTCTGTCTGAAAACATGTGAAAGAATATGAATTTTAAGTCTTCAAAAACATCATTGTTAACATTTACAATTAAAAATGAGTTCTAAAAACACAAGTTTGTTAGAAAACAAGCCTTACATGTTATAATTCATAGAATTATATGAATCCTGAATGAAGGTAAGTTATTATGATATGTGTATAGCCTCTACTGTCTGTCATCAGGCTTAATTTGACTAACTTTCCAGCCATCTTTCAGTTTCACTGTTTTGGAAAGGAGCCTAGCCCAAAGAAGAGCTCTTTCTAAGTCAAATAGATGCCTATTCCCTTCTTGTAACATAGGAATAATATACAAGATATAGTTGAAAGTCAAATTTAAAAGTTTCTTCCCTTTAAAAATTAGTATGTTTTTTCTCTTTAATAAAAAATAACTCACAGACAAATTTGTTTCTTTACGAAGATATTTAATCTCAAGTATATGCTGAATGAGTTTGAGAGTCTTACTCCAAGACATAAGATTAAAATGTTAAGAAATCATGTGTAATTAAGTGTCATATGTATCTTGTGTTTAGACTTTGTGGTTTGGAGTAAGAAAACTTTTCTCCCACAAATGTTTTCAGACTATTTCTTTTTCAAGTTAATTTTTGGCCTTTTAAATAGAATGGCTTGGGGCAGAGGGATGACTGAAAGTTTCTTGCCATTAAATCCAGTATTTATAAATGAAACACAGAATTAAATGGTGAAATGGCACCTAGGGGAAGGGGAAAGTTAGAGCATTTCTCCTTACCCACGGCCCTTTGTTCCAACCTGTGACATCCAAGTCTGGTCCAGAAGAGTGGTCCTTGTTTGAGGATACTTGAGTTGCTATAAAGACCAACTGAAGTTGAGAAATGAATTAGTTGTGATGAATACTAATGCCAACCAATTAATGAAGAAAACACTCATAGTCAATGACTATAAGTAAACATAAGACAGTTATCTTTGGATTTGCTTTCAGACTAAACAATTTCATCTCTTACAGGAAACTGAAAGTTGAAAACAACCAGAGAAGCTTACGATGCTAATGTGAAAAAAACCATCACTCAAGAGGCCTCACGTCTGATGACACACAATACCAGATGAAATGTTCAGTGCAATCAGAATGGACATATTGTCGTTTTTATTCCTCCTATTGGGATAACATTTTTTAAAAGTTTCTTGGGTTTTTAGTGTTGCTGATTGATTGCCTAACCCTTAATGAACCTCCCCATGCCGCATCGCTGTTGCAGCTGTTATACTTGACTTCCAACATTGGAAGTGTCTTGAATGCTTGCTTCAGCCATCAGCCAGCGAGAAAGAACAGACCAATTCTTTTTGTGATTTGCCCCTGAGATATGGCATTACACTGCTTATATATCAAGCTAATTGATAGCAAAATATTGATCAAAGATACAAAGGTGATGACTCAACCTCATGCCAAGGGCTCTCAAAGCATAGTCGTTCTATGACCAACTGCTAATGCCAAGTAAAGCATACTTCATTTTACATGATTTTAGAATCAGTCTTTCATACCACCCTTTGCTGGGATAAACTAAAAATCTATCACATACAGAACTACAGTTAATTTGATTGGGCTAGACACATTGTAAATATATACTCTTTGCAACTCCTGTGGTACTTTATTTTGTCTTTATTTCAATCATTGAAATATATTCTTGGAAATGTACTTTTGGATAAGTAGGGCTAAGCCAGTTGGACCTCTGGTTGTCTAGTCATTGTGAGAAGTAAACCTAGCAAAAATCTTGTTCTATTTTTCAATCAAAAAGCAACTACAAATGCATATTACAAGCAAATGGATGTTTTTAATGACCAATTGAGTAAGGACATCTCTATCTTAACTGGCATAAATTTCTTCTGGTAGTGTCAGTTCAACTTTCAGAAGTGCCACTTAAGGAGGTTTGTTTGATTTTTTTTGTTTGTTTGTTTTTGTAATGCACTGTTTTTAATCTTTTTTTTTTTGGTTTTAAAAGCACAATCACTAAACTTTATTTGTAAACCATTGTAACTATTAACCTTTTTTGACTTATTGAAGAAACTGTTGAGAAGTGTTTTTAGCCTGTTTTGTTAATGCTCTGTGTTTGTATTTGCAATATTTGAATGGTGACAGCTGGCGAGGTCATATACTGACTTTATCGTGTGCTGTGAACCAAATGGTTCCAATTTTTCCTGGACTTAAAGAAAAAAAAAGTTGTTTTAAGATTGTTGTGGCCAATGTTGAATCTTACAAGATTTCCTTAGAAGCTCATGAGAGGCATTCCAACTTGGAATTGCCAAGTGATGCTCTGTGACTGTAGATTTCTGTGATTTTTTTTTGACATTTTACGAATTTCATCGACTTTATAATTGGTGCTATTGAAGTAAACAAAATGAACCTTTAGTCATGCATAGGTATCAGGCCTGACCCCACAAAGCCAAACAAAATCGAACCACAAAAAAAAATAAATAAAAACAAAAGGCTGGTATTCACCAAAAACTAAGTGTATTCATTTAGATGATTTGAAGAAGCCCCATGTCCCATAGAAAGGATGTGCACTTCTAAGGGAACAATCCACGTGATTAATGTTTTCATTATGTTCATGTAAGAAACCTCTTATTTTTAGCCATACTTTTGCATACTGAAAATTCAATAATCAAAAAAGTAATTTTGTCATATTATTTATTAAAAATGTTCTCAAATACATCATCCTTCCTTGTGTTGATTTTTTTCATTGTATGATTATCAGATTTATTCCATTAAATCACAAAGTCGTTTTGTCTTAACATTTCACCACTACATTATGAAAAAGAAGGCATTCTCAGTTTTCTTAATGAGCATCCAGGTTCTACTACTAAGCAAAAATTCTCATTTTCAATTGTCTGAAATAAGTGGGAGTTGATTCTCGAGTTGAACTTAGCTGTGTGGTCAGAGACTAACTCTGAAAGGCGTGCTGTGTTAGTTTCTGTATGTGTATCTGAATTTCAGTTAGCCTATTTCTAAAATAGTCAGGATGCAACTACAATAAACCTTATTTGTCAAGTCTGAACCACCTATGTTCTGTCAGTAAGAAAGTTTATAAATCCCATTGCTTGTCAGAAAATTTGGCCTAGCACTGATATACCAGGTTGCACATTATGATCAATTAAATCACCATACTGCAGAATTTCACTTGGATGGATGAGATGGGTACCATGTCTTGGAAATGTCAAGGTCAACAGAATATCCTGGAGCTTAGACCCCCCAACACCCACCCTATGATATGTATTTTTTCTTTTACCTAAATTTTTGTGTTTACCATAATTTGAAAAGCTGAAGAAAAGAAATGGAACAACGAAGGGCTTAATTTGTAATTTAATTTTATAAAAATGATGTAATTATCAACATCCACTTGATAGATAAACAGACCTAGCTTCTAAGCTATTTTTTTTTTTAAAAAAAAAAAACCAAATCACTGGGGGGACATATGTAATGGACTGACTTTTCTTTTTCTAGGTGGGTGAACTACTAATAAGCTACTGTCTCTTTTATATTACATGCTGCAGTTCACACACAAAATCTGTATGTCAGAGGGCCTGGACAAAATGGGAATTAGTTTTGTCATGGCTGTATTTCCTTGGACATGTTACTTAACCTCTAAGTCTCAGGTACTTCACCTGTAAAGTCAGTAATACCTACCTCATGGAGCTGTTGTCATGATTCAGTGAGTTGATGTATCCATTTGGACTCTGTAAACTCCACAACGACATAAGCTATTGTTATATTTATGGACTGAAATTCACTACACATGCAGTCTCCATTTTTCATCCCCGATTTGTTCCTAAACATTTGCATGAAAGTAAAAGCATAAGTGTGGTGTAAGGACAGGGGTACTTCCATCTCTGGTAAGTAAAACTCACTGTGAAATTATCCCATTGTGGAATAAATGCTTGGTGTTCTTGTTCGTTTCTTTGCTTTTGGATGAAAGGGAAGTAAATGAATCGCTGGCGTTGTATTTCTGGTATTTTCTTCATACAGTCGATAATACAGACATGTCACTTGAGTTCTCAATAAATGGATTTAGTGTTTATTGGGGGCTGCTGTTGTACATTGTAGCAAAAAAAAAAAAATGCAATCTTGACCTGTATGGGACTTTTCCTGGACAGATGTGAGCAAACATTTGTTCATCCATCTACCACAGACAGTACCACAACAGATGAATCAAGTGACACCATACAAGTCCAGTTTAGTGAACCTACACATTTTGGGGGAGGGAAGAAGTTACTTCTAGAAGTTAGGGTGACTCAAATCCAGCTAAATCACCCCACCATGGGCAATGACTCAAAAAAGCTGCATCACTTGAATTGCATATACATCATTAGCAGCTGCCCCAGTCAGTGTCTTATCCCCAGCAGTTGTTTGCTGTGTACACATACATCCTGAGAAAATGACCCTGTGAATCTTGTAATCGTCACAAGCTTAGTGAGCCTCTCTTCCTTCCAAAAAGGATATTTCTCTCTGAATGATTGCCCCAGGTGAGTTGGGTCATATCTGGCTTTCTTGAAAATTTCAAATGTGCTGTGGATTTTTTTTTCTTTCGTTCTCCACAGGGTAGCATCTAAATGCCAGAGGCTGGCTCTATGTGAGGAAAACTTGGGATATCAAGATGTAGAGGCCTTGAACATCACTGTTGTCAAGTTATCAGTGGTCTGCATTTGTCAACTCTTGGGGCTTTGTTTGTTTTGTTTTTTGAAACTGGGTTTCTCTGTGTAGACCTAGCTGTCTTGGAACACACTCTGTAGACCAGGCTAGCCTCCAACTCACAAAGATCTGCCTGCCTCTGTCTCTCAAGTACTGGGATTAAAGGCACGTGTCACCACCACCACCTGGTTTCTTAACTCTTAATCTCCATCTGTGCTGTGCCCATCCCCATTGAACCTCCCTGATGTATGAGATTACGCTGACATAGAGCGGTGTGGGAAGATGAGAGTCAGAGTTTATTTGCTCTTCCATGTTTGGGATCTGGAGAAATCTGAGATTTGGATGTTTGTGGCCCTGAACCAGTTGCCCTATGAGAGATGGATGTTAGTAGAAATGGATGGAAGACTCTTACACTTCAAAGAAGGAAGACTAATAATCTAAAAAGAATTTGATAACTCCTACTCCACGAAATAAGTGTCAGTTTTGTTGTGATATATCTGAGGCTGGGATGAATTTTACAATCCTCAGTGTGTAGCCATCCCTTTCAGTAACCCTTATGTGGCAGTTTTCCCTGCTTACAGTTCAAAATGCCTCATAAAGGAGGGAGAACTCTCACTTGCCTGGTTGATAAATGAAGCATCAGGAATATGGGGCAGTTAAGGAGCACCTGCATAAGGAAATTAAATAGGATTGCCCAGTTAGTAGTTGCCTTTCTAGAAAATGGTACAAGTGTGACATTAATGTCTGTACTAAGCCGGGGAATCCTAACCCCCGTGGTTTTCCTTTGGCTAAGTGATCGCTAACTTTAGAAGTGCACAACTCTTACACCTTCATTATTTTTAAATTGTTTCACAGAGAGATTACTTGGAGAATTTACACATACCCAAGAGAATCAGGGAAGCATCAAAAATGACTGTTTTGGGTTGGTGTTTCCCCACAGTGCCTGAGACAGAGTTGGACACAAGGGGTTTATTTGAGACTTAATCCAGAGAGTAGGAGAAAGGTCAATGTAAGTTCTTGGAAGTGGGCAAACATGTTCCCCTAGGGAGGCTCCCTTGCTCTTCGTTGAAACTTGCAGAATCTTCTGAAGGAGATGAGTCTGAATACTGTTCTCGTGTCTCATTGATGTAGGCGACTTTCACACCCAAATATTCAACTCCTGAGTGATGGTGATCAGAACACATGGGAAGAAGGTACCAAAAGGAGATAGGTTTTTTAAAAGATATGACTGTCACAGTGAATTCAAAACAGCACCTACCTACTGTTGGCAGGATTATTAAAAGTATGTGAACATGGTATTAAAAAAATCAAGCAATCATCAATTTACCTTTTTATTTTTAGAATAAAATTTAGGAACACTCACTCTGAAATTAGTCATTTATTTTCACACTGGCCTAGCTCTTACAAGCTATTTTCAACAATATATGTCTTGAGTTTTAATTATCTTAATATTCTGAACATTTTTAGAAGAGGATCATCATTGACATAAATCAGAAAGGCATAGGAACAGCAAGGAAGGTTAATCTTAGAATCACTGCAATTGGGCACTTTATAACAAAGCTACAAAGTGTACTATGTATTCTTTAAACAGAATTATCTACAGAGAAGTTCTTTTTAAAACCTAAACACACACTACATATTAGGCATGTCAAGTTACTAAAGCCCTCAGAATAGTACAAAATTCAATTTAAATTGAGACTGGCATAAACAAGTCCTTTGTTCTACAAGTCTATCCCGGAAGCATTATCACAGTGTCATGTAAATTAAAGCCCTAACATAAATCATAACTTTAGTGAAGTATACACATTTCTTGCCTTCTTGGTCTCTCAATACGTAGATTTGTCTACTGTCATGGATGGAAAGTTTCTCCTTTCAATTTCACATTAAAATATTAGCCTACATTGTGCTGGTGTGAGGGGATGAGGCCTTAGAGTGAGAAGCTCACAAATGTGGAACCTTCAGAATGTGAAAACAACAACAACAAAAAGCTCTCTTTTCATTGTCCTGACATGATACAATGAGATGTCAGTGGTTTGTGTCCCTCTAAGGGGGAGTTTACAAAATCCCAACCACACTGGCATCTTAATCTTAAACTTCTAACCTATGAGAAGTCCATTTTTGTTGCTTACTAATTTACTCTATATCTGACACATTTTAAAAGATAACTGTTTTGAAGTGTGTGTATGTGTATATACAGTTGTTGTAGAGTACAGTAGACAGCATCAGCTCCCCTTGAGCTGGAATTATAGGCAGTTGAGAGCTGTCCATTGTGAGTGAGTGGACCTGAACCTGTCTTCTATACAAGTAGAATGTGCTCTTAGCCACTGAGCTTTCTTACAAGGCCCTGTGGCAAATTTTTATAGCAAATAATAAGTTTAGTTTTTGAGAGTTCAGGAGCTCCAGGTATAGGCTAATAATCTTGGAACACTCAGAAATTCCTCATCAAATAAAGCTGTAAGCTTTACAGCTTTGGAAAAACAGAACTCTTTGGAAATAGCTGAAGGATCAATGTCTGTTCCCAGTTTGACTTCTGTAACTGTTTTCTCTGTCCTTCATTGCAGGGCTTCCAACAGTTTAGAGGACCTTCCTTACAATGTAAACCTGCCCTGGTGCCTGACACTAGCCCATGGGGACAGTGACAGCAGAACTGAATTCAAGTCTAGTTAGAAGCCAGTGTCACCCCATAAACCTGAAGCTGGGAACTTCGGAATTCATAACTAAGAGCTGCTTGAGGTCTGGCATGATGGTGCACACTATAATCCCAGCGTCCAAGAGACACAGGCAGGAAGATAGGCCACATAGTAAGGCCATCCTGAGCTATAAGGGCATGACTATCTCAAAGGCCAAGACATGGGATGTACCTCAAAGTTAAAATGAATGCCTAGAATGCACAAGGTCCTGGTTTCTGTCTTCAGTCCTGGAAGAGAAAGAGAAAGCAGGG